TCGTACGCATAGGTAACAATTACATTATATTTTTTTATTTTATTTACAATAATATTGTTTTTTGTTAATTTTTATTAATAATCTGTCTTTTATTTCATCGTATTATATTTTCGTGTAATTTATGTAATAAAAAATAATATTAATGAGGTTTCACAAATTTTCGAATATTTTGATCCTTTTCATATTTCCATAATTATTAGTTTTTTTAGTTTATTGTGCGTTAATTTATTTATTTAATATTTTCCTAATTAAATTTTATTTAGATTAATAATTTGGACTTATTTAGTTTAAATTTTATTCTTAGCTAATTAAACAACATAATCTGTCTGTTTGTTTTTAATTAACAAGTATTTACTCCTACTCTAATTTTATATTATTCATATTTATATATTTTCTCATTTTTGTTAAATATTTCAATTATTCGTAGAGTTAATTTTAGATTTTTTTAGTGTATCAAATCAATTCTTTTTGACATTCTTGCCAAAATAACTTTGTATAATATTTAAAAGTCGGTAATTGTTTATTTACCTTTTTTAATACCACTTCTTGCTTTCGGCAAATATCAGCAAAGTTAATTTAAATGTCACCAAGTTCAACAATTTCACTCAGAACTGTAGACTACTGCCAGTGACACTGTATTTTTTGCTTTTTAATTTTCACACAAAGTAATACTATTTTCATAATAAGTATGTAACTTTTTCCAAAAAGTATTCAAATAATTTTTTAGCAAAAATTTGGTAAAATTTTTTTGTAATCGTTTATATCTTTTCTTCGTTATATTTGCATTAAATTTGAAAATTTATTTTATTTCCGTTGAAAAAATATTTTTTTCCAAAAATATATGCACATTTCATAAATTAAAATTTTCTGGTTTGTAAACTTTCTCAAAATATATAAATTTCCACTTAGTACATTTAAACGCGCAAAGTTCGCAAATAACTTTCGTTTTTATTTTGTGAGTAATTCAACTGCACGAAAGGCACTTAAGTTCACATAATCTGTAAGCACAAAAGTATTGTTTCAACAAGCTTTAATCACAAAATGATTTTTAAAAAATGTCCAGTAATTCGCATATAAAATTTAAAATTTTTATAAATTTCTAACAGCCCACTTATGGAAGATCAATAACACTTTCAGTGAACTTATCTTAAAAATATATGTATGTATTTAAAACACGTCTTCCAAGCAAACTGTTTCAACATACAAGAGAAAATCACATTTTCCTTAACAGTTGCATTGACAAAACACCGTGTATAATTCATACAAGTGTCTGTATGTTTGTGTGAAGGCACTTTAATTCACATACATATCTAATAAAATCATCTTTGGGGCACTCTATGCTACAGATATGTTTGTATGTTGGCACGTCTGATGCTTTGCTTTGCTGCTGAAGCTTCATTACAAGGCACTCGCACTACTCGACGAGACGAGAAAACTGAAAATCTTTCCAATTCGTCCGATAAACGCGTCCACGACCGTCGCTAGTTGGCGTTCGATTGCCGCAACACCGAGTGACACAAACTGCAGCAACCAACTACCCATAAGCAAMAGCAACAGCAACGCTAACAGCAGCAGCAGCTACAGCGAGAGCAGCGCAGTCGCCGAGCGGCAGCAAAGTTGGCAATCGGCAGCCAGAAGTCTACAGCGAGTAGCATACGCCGGCATCTCGTGCCACAGACGTGAACTCAGCCAGAGAACGTAAAGTATAGTGTGTATGTATGTGAGCACGCGGCAATAGCGACAGCGGAACAGTGTTGCTTAGTCTTCGAATTTATCCCCTTTCATAATGGAGATAAGTTTTTAGGGCAAAAAGTTATTTAATCTCACACTTCTTAAACATATGAAATAGATGTTCATGTAATTATTTTGAATAAATGTAAAATAATAATTACCATATCATAAAAGATGCCTATATTTCACCGGTACGGCAACCCTACTTCACTTTTGTTTATTTACATTCCAAGCTGCAGTCACATACAGCACCTACACATTCACACGAGTATATCCCGCACATGAAAACAGAGCATTTCCATTGAGCGGCTTGCACTCACTGTTAGCTCGCTGTTAACGGTTGCTGTTAGACTTAACATTTGTATTAATTTTTTCGACCAGTTGACTTGCAATATGTATAAAGCGTTTTCGACCAGTTGCCTGCATGCTATGCAGCATTGTTGTTGCTGTAGTTGTTGTTAGCAGCCGGATTTGTGTATTTAGCTGTGCCTTCGTATCGAGTCAGAATTAATGAATGGTGCGGTCAAATAATTATGGGCATGGCGCGTTAACTTCGGCAGAAGTCGTAATTCTGTACGTGTTTGTATTGATAGTATATGTGTAGCGCTTTGGTTCGGGTTAGCGTAGTTGTCTACTTGTTAATGATTGTTAATCATATCATTTAGCATTAAAGCGTGCAAATTGGGGAGGCGAAGATTGAGAGAATTAATGAATGAAAAAAAATACATACAATCAACACTTAAATATGTATACAAATACATAGAAAATTAAGAAATTAAGAAATTAATTCGACGGTTTTTAATATTGTTTACGTTTTTGAAATAAGCACTTTTTAATAAACGAAATAATTTATCAATATTTATCATACCCGCGATATAGTAAGCTGCATATGAACATATTGGAAATTTGATGAAAAGCAGAACGAATCAACAGGCTCATAAATCAATTTCCACGTCAATCATATATAGAAGTAGTAATAAAGGTTACTGTCATATCAAATTTCATTCAAAATATGGATTCGACCCCAAATGACTCACTTTTCAAAAATTTTTAAATTATAGATGTCGCTCTTCACTGTGATTCTCACCGCCAAATTTATGGGTTTATGGTTTTTGATAATAACATTTTTTGGGCGTGACAAAAGATTTTGCCTTTGTATAATAAACCCCCCAGTAACCGATTATTTCAATTTATTCAATGTTGTTGGACAAGGTCATCAGTGATAATTGTTTGTCGTGTTAGTTGGTGCAAATTATTCAAAAGGGGTCGAGAACGCATTGATGAAGTGCCGCGGCCGTCAACATCAACTGGTGATCAACACTTCAATAAAATATAGAAATTAGTGCTTGAGAATCGACGATTAATAGTCAGATATCTTACCGGTATCGTTAGAATATCATAAAAGTCAATGAAAATCATTTTGGACTAAGAAAAGTGAAATCTCCTTTGGTTCCAAAATCTCTTAAATTTTTTGAAAAGCATCATCGTGTTCACGTCTGTGAAACAATGCTTTCCGACTACCAGAGTGTCATGAAACGTATTATTATAGCCGAAGAATCTTGGATCTATACTTACGACGCAGAAAGAGACGATCAATCTGACAAATATGGTGGCAAAGGTGGGTTGAAACCGAAAATTCATGTCAAAGCAGGTCGAAACCTTGGTTATTTTGACAATTTTCTTGGAATATCGAGGTATAGTATGCTGTGTCCGACTGGAATTCTATTTGAGTGATATGTAACGTTCAAATTATAGTTGAATATAAATAGAAAACCACTGGTTTCTATTTGTTTTCTAGATTCTTAATCTATTATGGTTAACGAAGGTGCTAACTTTTGATTCTGCTAGAACTTAATTTTGGTTTGATAGAAGTAGTTTTTTTGTTTCTTTTCTACAAAATTTTCTTATTCTCATTGATTGGAGTTATGCAATTCTTTTAACGCCTCAGGATGTTACTTTGAATCAATTTTGATTAATTTCTAAATATCGATGCTTCTAATATTACTTTGGCTAAGCGTTCATTAATTCGTTATACGCACACATAAATATTTAAATACATTCAAATAAAATATGACTTTGTAGGACCGCGAAATTACACGATTTCAATTTAAAATATAGCTCTTCGAGTACATTACAGTCTATAAAATGCTTGCATGTACCAATTACTGTCTATTTTGGCAAGATTACCCAATCACAACAGCTGTTATGTCAATTATTTTACTCTAGCGTTGCGCATAGGTCAAGAATCTCCAAACACATATGTAGTAGATTTGTATTTGCTTGCATTTTTTGAAGAAAAAGTAATCAAAGTGCAATACTCACCACACCGACGGCATGCCGTTGCCGCAGCTCAGCAGCAATTTCGGCAAATTTGCATAGAAATCCCATTTCGAACGACTGCAGGCAGCCGAGGTAGGAGCACACGAGCAAATCGCGTGCTTGGCGAATTAGAATGGAGCGTGTGCACGCCGTATAGACAGGATAAATGGCGGCGAGGTGTTTGTCAATCAGCGCAGCGATGCCCGCGTCCTTTACGAGCAGCGGCAAAGGGAAAGAAAGCAAAACACATTATTAACAAAAGCAGACTTACGGTAATGAACAGACAATTGTGTGGAAAATGTATATAACATTTCTTTAAAAAAAGTGTTAAAGTGCAAGAAAAGGTGTGTAAGTGCGACGGGCGGTCAGTTCAGTCAGGTAAATGGTGGTGTTGCTTACCATGTGTATAGCGCAAGCCAATTGCTCCTCCTTGACAAGTGGTGGACAGCTGCTGCTGATACTCATGAGCGACGGTTGTTGTTGTTGGAGCAATTTTACTCTGGCTACATCAGCGGCAACGGTTAAGCTCTTCAGCTTGCCAGCTTGTAAGCTCTGTGTTTGTTGTAGTTGCTGGCATTGTTGTTGCATCCGTCTTGTCTCTTGTTCGACAGTTAAATCAGGCGAGTCATCAACTTCGACTTCAACTTCAGTGGCCGCCAAAGCGAGGGTGTCGCGCTTATGCTCGGCAAAGGTCAACGGTGTTGTTTGCTGCTGTTGTTGTTGTTGGTCAGCACTGACATTCGAACTGCCGCTGTCCATCAACACTGACGATGACGGCAAACTAAAGTCAATATCATCGTAAGCCAACACCGATTGTTCGCTTGTTAAGTGCGCTTCTTCTTCTAGCCCCAGCGACGCCTCCTCTCCTGTCGTGCTTTCTGTGTGCGTTGCTGCGTCGCCCTGTCGCTCACTTGTGGCAATTAATGTAGTGGTGCACGCCTTATTCTCAACTTCCTCATACACCCCCTCTGGCTCTGCCTCCGCCTCCGCCTCTTCCTCCTTCTTTTCTTCGAGAGCGGTGAATTGCTGGGTGCTGCGGCTGTGCGCTGCATCCGACACCTCAGCGCCAATCGATTCTTGGCACTTTTCATCTCGCACATACAATTTGGTGGCGGTTGTTGTTGCYGCTGTGGAATTCGTTGCATTTGTGACCGCCTGTTGATGCTGACCCGTCAGCCGATCTCTGCACCGCTTCAAATATGTGCGCACGCGCGATTTGCTGCGCTGCACCGGCTTCTCTGTTGTCATCGCCGTTGTTGTAGTTGCTGCAATTGCATTAATATTCAAATCGATATCGACTTGGCAACACCGTTCGTTGCCATTGACCAAACAGAAGCAATTTTTCCGTTGTTTCTCCGCCAACTCCACATAGCGACCACCATCCTCCTCCCCGGAATACCAAATCTCCTCGGCGTCGTCTTCCTCTTGCGCAATTGGTGCAGTGGAACCCGTGCTTCGTACCCCGGCCATTATGTTGGTCTCATTTGCTGCTGTTGTTGCCGCATTTGCCACATTGCCACAGATCCAGCTGTTAAGGCCGGCTTCATGGCTCTCATCAGCTGTGTTGGTGCAACATTTAGTGGTTGCTGCTTCTGTAATCGTTACTGTTGTTGTTGTTTTTGCTGGTATCGATTTTGTGTCATTCACCGGCATAACCAGCACCTCCGCCAAGTGTTCTTCGGAGTTGCCGTTTATATTGTTGCAATTGTTCTTGCAATTATTTGCAGCGTTTGTTGTTGTTGTTAATATTGCAACGCTATGCTCTTCACCCTCAGGTGGCCTACTTGTACTATTGCCACTTTGACCGTTATTTTCATTGTTACTTGTGTTGTTGACATTGTTGTTACTGGGCTGTGGATTCGCCTGAAGCGGCAGAAAGAGAAGATAGCAAGGAAAACTTAGTAAAGGTTTATGCAAATATATAAGTGTGTTTATATGTACATAATTTGTCCATTTGTTTATAATTAGTTGTTGGTATATTGCTGTTGTTGTATATATGCATTGACATCGAATTATATTCTAACAATAAAAACTTCGATAAAATAGTTTTTAAAATTACTGTTGGACAGTTCGGATACCGAAAGTACTCTGAACTTATTTTTCATAAAGTTCAAATATATTGGATTTTGAAAACTATCGTTCCAGAAAACTTTATAAAACCTGAAAGTAATGTTCACTAGATTCCCAAGCAACAGAAAACTCAGAAGCTCAAAGAGAGAAACCGAAAGAAAATGAAAGAGAGTTAGGAACATTTAGCACTTGAAAGTACCAAGTAAGTATAAGAATATCGCTGTATTAACCAGTCCATTCTGTAGTAAAAGGTGTCTCAGTCTAGATCATAGCACATTCAAATTGATACGACAACGTCGAAACCTAAGGATAATTATAATTGTTTTCGTAGTACCACTGGGTGCTCATGTATGAACTTTAAAGAGCTGCTTCATAAGGAAACTGTATTGCGCTTTTAAAGGAACATAATATCTTTATAAATATTAAGGTATATAAATCATAGAGCAATTCCTATACATACATTTTCATTAGCCAACATAAGCTCTAAAATAGAACTCCCCTTATTATGAAAATTTATCTCATCTTTTATGGAGGTCTCTGAAGCTAACATCTGCTGAAGTGGTGATGGATATTCAATATTCTTTGTCGGAGTGTATTTTCGTCTGTTTTAAATAGGTTTCTGAGTAACACTTTCTTTCCTACGAAATTTTTCTACAAGATCATCCAAACTTTTGTTGGCTAATTTTTAGCTCTTTATTTATTTATTTATTTTTTTTTTTTTGGAAAAATATTAAATTATCAAAAAAAAATCGTTTTCGGGTCCTTTTTTGACAAAATATTTTTCAACATTTTTATAACGGGCGATCCAAGTAGAGTTAATTTTTTCACTATCCTTTTTTTTAACAGATCACGCGTGAGTTGTGTCAATCTGTCATGTTATTTTTCTTCAGTATCGTTTGGCATTTCATTATGAAAAGACTTACACTGAAGTCCTTGAGACCCAGCATATAGTGAAAGAAATTCGGCGATTCGGCGACGTTCGGAGGAACTCGGATTGACGTACTGAACGACTTGTCACATTTCATGTTGATATCTTAAATAAACAGCGTGCAGCTAGTGAAACAACTGACAGCGCTTGATCTTACCAGCCGGCATCGCTTCACTTTATGGGTTATTGAAAAGTTCCAAGAAGATTAGACGTTTTCGTACGAAATTTTGTTCAACGATTAGGCCAATTTCTAGCTCAATTTATGTGTAAACAAGCGAAAGTGTTGCTTTTAGGACGAAGAGCAACCTGAAGACATTCAAAGGGTACCATTTCATTCAGAAAAACAACAGTTTGATGTGATTTGTGGGCCAGGAGAATCATCGGTTCAAATTTCATCAAAAATGATGCCGGTGATAACGTAAAACTTCATTTTGACCGTTATTGCACCATGATATGATGTCAGACATTGGAGCTCATGATGTTGGCGAAATTGGGTTTCAACAAGACAGCGCCACTTCTCACGCATCGCATCATTTAATGGATTTATTGAGAGAACACTTCGGTGAGAAGAAGAAGGTGAGTCACCGTTTGACTTTTTCCCGTGGGGATATGTACTTGTAAATCTAAAGTCTATGCGGACAAAACCCGCTTTGATTCAGACCTCCAAGCAAAATATCACACGTGTCATTCGCCACTTACCAGTCAAAATGGTTGGACAAGTCTTCGAAAATTGGACTCAACGGATAGACCGTAATATACAGATAATATACAAAGCATAAATGGGCAAAAATGTCCTTTCGAATGATAATCAACATTGCCCATTTAAATTGAAATTTCTATGCTTTTTTCTTAAAAAAAAGTAGGCAACCTCGAAATGGATCACCCTTCATTAGTATTTGACAATTCTTGGCTTTACTGCTCAGTGTGTATATATCTTAATCATTAGTCCCTCAAGTAATGTGGTTCTCATCCGCACACCACAGTTCTTCGTAATCTTAACGTTGGTTCTAGACTTAAAGGAAGTTTTTTTTACTATGACAATTTATTATTGTCATTCAAATAACAAGTGTGATCCCATGGGGTTCTAAAAGTTTTAGATTCTTGTATTTGTGATTATTCTTAATTAAAGAAAGAAAAGCACAACGTAAATACGGTGATCAAAAAATTTTCTTTTCCCATACCTTTTACTTTATATCAATATGGACTCAAAACAAACTGTCCAGTTTACCGAGTTGTCTATGTACTATTTTTGTCTATATTTTTCTATTCTTTGATGATGCTAGAGGTATCAGAAATAGTCTAAATTTTCGATCAGAAGTATACTTATATTTAAGTGGTAGACATACGAGACTTTTCAGTTGATTTTTGTTACACTTTATTTACTTTTTTTTTTTTTTTTTCAAAGAGCTTTCTGTTGGAAAAGATGAAAGGAGATAGTCCCAACGTCACTCTCGCCCCTATTCATTTAGGTACATACTAGCTCTACACAGCAAAAAATGGTAATTTGCTTCAAAACACTTTTTAATTTTCACCATTTCCCTGAAGGCATTTTCAAACGTTCGCGTGCTGATTTTCACATGCTATCGTGTGGCGAATAAATGTAAATTTAAACATTTTGCTATTTACAGTTAAGTCAACAATGCCATGACTTATTATCAATATCTGATTAAGCCATGTAAGTCTGTGTGTGTGGAAATCAGAACTATAGTAATTATGCGTGTTTGTAGCTGTGTGTAGCCGAGCAATTGAGGACAAACATCGATCGCATAAAAGGGGCTTGGTGAATTGGGGGCATAAAAAAGAACAGACATGGTGTGGCAAATGGTTTAACATAAGTTAGTATGTAATACGCAACAACAGACGTATAATGGCCTGTAAGCAGGTGGATGGAATTTCAGAATACGAGGAAGTGTAGAGCATTTAGTTGGCAGAGTGAAGTCTCGGAAATTTTATTGCAACAAATTTATAAACAGATTGTGTGCTAGCGCTGAATACAAAATACATCATATCTTTGAATAACGCAAGTCATGTTGAACTGCTTCTTATTTTGTATATGTTTTCATTTTTATTACATCTCTTAGCGAGTGTGCTTAATAGAGGTATTGTGCCAAGTAATCATTTTGTATTGGAAAGTGCAGTATATTGTGGCATGCAGCCAAAACTCGAGTTGACATAGGTCAAGTGTAGCATTCAATTCTATAAAAATAAAAACATTTTGCTTAGAACTTCAGTTGGTTAGCTTTTAGTCAGAGGTATGGTGATTGTATCGGTAGAACAGGGAAAAAGATCACCCACCACATATACAAATTTGCAGACAACTCAAAATTAATGAACTTAATGTTCATTTCAGTTTCATGTGTTTCATTTATACTCTTCAAAAATATCCTTTTTTCAACAAAAATATTTAATAGAGGCCAACAGTTTTTCAATTACATTCTTTTTAGCTGTAAAACACACACATCTAAATGTTTTTTTTTTGTGCTGTGCATACTGCAACCGCTTATAGCCCTTACAGCCAGACACTTCCACACACACATAGCAGCTGTCTAGGCGCCTCACCTTTTTTCGCAGGAAGTGCATGCCGAACAACAGACAGCCACTCATGCACAATGTAACTAAATTTATTATTCACAATATTTTCGAAAATCTCAGCATTTTTTCAAAACATTTTTCCTTCCACAATTTCCACTGATTCTCCATTTCTATTTACATAAAATTTCAATTTTCAAATTTCATGCACATTTTCACTTAACTTTTCACTTTCATTTTCTTATTTCATTTCCACGATTTTCCGCTTCACGCAAAACTCGCGTATCTTCGCGTCGGTTGCGTTTTGTTTACTGTGGCGCTTCTGCTTCGTACAAGGTTAGTTTCGTCTTAGCGGCAAACATCGGTCGTCGTAGCGCATTTTGGGAGTGACGCTGTTGGCGGTAGAAATTACTCATCCCTTTTGGTTGTTAGCGCCCAGCCCATGAAGTCGGTTGACGTGTTTCGAAACCAAAGTGGTGCTAAAGTGTTGCAAGTGGCGCTGCCGCTGGCAATGGATGGTGAGGCGGCAAGCCAACCGGGTGGGCCAGTGAACCGACCGACCATCGCGCCATTGTGTCGTATGCAAAATGTTAGTTTGTTTGTTGGTTTGCATTTCCTTGGTAACGCTAGTGCGCGTCCAATTTGTTTTCGTGCAAAGGCTTTTACTTAAGCGCAAAAAGCTTCAAATTAGTGATTTCGGTTATTTTTTGAGGACATAAACTCTACATCGTGGCAGAGATATTACATAAAATAACTCGCATATATGTTTATGCATTTAGTAAAGTGCTTTCCTTCATTTTTGTACATAATTCTTTTATGATCTATTTTCAGCAAAGGCCATTTTTATGAGAGCCGAAACTACTGCCAGAGTTCCTATAGTTTGGGTTCTGCAAAAACAATGCGCAACTGCATTCTATCTCTCTCTCTTTCTCTCTGTCTCTCTGTCTCTCTCTCCTTATCTCTCTAACTCTCTCTCAAAGCAATTTAATTATCTTCTCATCTATCAGGCTCAATGAAATGTTGGTCACATTTATGCGATTCACACACAATTTGTTGGGAAATAAATATTGCCTTGTACTTCTCATATGGTTAATGAAATTCACATATTTACATAATCTTACATTTCTTGATTATCTTACAGAATTTATTTCTTAAATTTAATTTCAGGAATGACATTGTAAACAATAAATAATATTATATTTATGACTGATTAGAAAACCTATTTTAATGAAACAAAGTATAGAACAATCGTATTGGAATACGGTATCTACAAGTATATATAATATAATCAAAAGCAGATTCTTGTCTATGCAATCCTAACATGTTCTCTTCTACG